GTTGAAACGTGCTGATCAACCTTGGAGGCAAAAAAGATATAGTCATCTACCTCAACAACATCGTGCACCTTACTCGCTCTCTGCAGAAAAGCTGCCTTTACACCTCATCTCAGTGATGAGAGAGAGCAGAAGTGACATTGGCATGCCTCAGGAGGTGGGAAGAGAAGAGTGCTGGCAGGAGATACACCCACCCTTTTCCACCTTATGCGTCTGAGCAGACCAGCATGCACCTGTCCCTTCTGGCTGTACACAGCCTGAGAGAAACTTCAGGTCGCTTGCGATTGCCTCCACTGCCATGAAATATCCCTATGCTGTCCAACCTTTGTATCGGGATAAAAAGACATAAAGAAAAGGATAAAAAGAGATGGAAGGAGCAACACATAATTGGAAATGACTGAATCTGTGCATAACAGAAGAGGGAGTATGCTGGGAGGGAGGAGGGATGTGAACGATAAGCAGATAGCGGGCGTGAGAATGGGAGTGACAGTGACAGAGTCCAATGCAAAGATAAACAGCCTGGGTGCAGCCCCTGTAATGGCTTTGCACAAGTAATTTGTCACTCCATGTGAAAAGCAAACAGCAGGAAAGGCAATGGCAACACTTTGCACTGACACTTAAGATTGGCCAAGGATGTCTCACCCATCTGTGTACAAAACTGGCTCGGCCTATTCCTCAAGAGCGAGAAAACACCTTGAAAACGTCCAGCCGCATTTCAGTTGACGAGATTATGTCAGGTTCATTATTTTAACTGGGTTTAAATAATTGTTGCTCCCTGGCTGAAGAAATACAGATTTAATAGGAGTCATAGCTTCTTGGTACAAACGTCTTTAGACATGAACAGAAACATAACTTAAGTGAAATCTGAAGTGTTTTAATTCCTTCTTTAAAGGCAGCTTTTATATCACTTGCAGTATATGAAACTCTACATAATGAAACATATTTTTTACATCTTTAAAAGGCTTGAAAATGGAAATTGACCAGCCACCATTTTGAAGTAAATGACAAGCGACATAAGCTGTAAACATAATTTAGCATGTGAGCACTGCCATCTTGTGGCCGTTTCCAATACTACATGCATAAGGAAAAAATATTTGCATCAATAAAAAGCAGGTGCCGACATTTTTCATTATAAATGAGAATATTAAAAACATTCCTGAGCCATTGAGGCATCAAGCATAAAGAAATAGGGAACAAAACAATGCTGTGCAAGTCATTCAAATCCAGCAGTTCATTTTGAAACAAACAAACAAAGAACAGAATTTTGTGAAGGCGTTATGCACCATCTCAATATATTATCACACCAACCATTAACCTATTAAAATGCTCTCTGCAGGACCACCCAGCTGCGGCAGGTGAGAATGCAACAACCTTGACCTTTTCCCTGAGATGGGCAGAAGCTCGCCGTTGGCTTTCATCTGGTCTATTTTCCTGGACAGGTCGGCGTCGCTGTCAATGACCAAAGTGCACCTTTGGGCGTAGCTCACCAGAGTCTCTTCCCCTTGGCGAAAATTGCCAACCAAGGAGACCATGTCTTTACCCGCCAGGTGGAGCTCGGCAATTGATGCCGTGTTGGCGATGGTGTTCCGGTCGATTCCGAGATGGCGGAACGCTTCGCTCATGCTTTTCTTCTTGATGAAAGCGGACAGGACTTGTTTGTAGCGGTGAATGACGTACTGGACTCCGGTGGCTTGTGGAAATAGATGACAGGTTATGAAATATATGAGTTGCTGTTGCTTTTTATTAGTTTTAGTAACAATCTCAACTCTCACTGGACACACATACAAATAATTCATGCATATAGTTTCAGCCTTCCAATTTTAATTGAAAGATTTTATTTTGAAAACAGGGAAATCGTCTAACTCACTGTAACATTTATTTATTTATTCCTATAATTTTTAGCATTGCTTTTAGGATTCACTAAGCCTTCAGCTGCTAATATCCACAAACAAATCTTAATTCTGTTACTGATGCACTGATTCCACCTTTGGGTACTTAACTATCCTTTGTAATAGTACATGACGTTGAAAATGTCACCTGCATCAGTTTGAGTGAAGAATTAATTTTCTGTTAATGTCCTTTTTAATAAGTCATACACCTACAGTAAGACTGCAGCTGATAGGTGGGAAAACACATCAAACTTGTGTTTTATAACAGCAGCTAATTATCTGCAGTGTTGTCTTTATGAAAGTGTGGTTATTATGCAGAACCTGCTGACTGCTTTTCATTTGCCTGCTCAACCAACCAGTTACTGCTGCCTTAAAATGGTGATGCTGGAACAAGACTTAGGCCTGATTCAGACCTAAGTGAATCTTTCTAGAGTCTACAATGTTGCCTATTTAAGTGCCGATGACTGTGCTGGCATTTATGCTTGTGTGCTATATTACGTGTTAATTACCAAGTGATCATTTCACTGTGTTTTATATGTGGCGACAGATGACAGAAACATGTAAAATACTAGGACTTTTTTCCCCTCCTGGGTCCCTGCGCTTTGTCGTGGTCCGTTTTTTGGGGGGGAGCAAATACATCTATCCCTCAAGTTTTTGCCACTTCTTTGTACATTCCCTCACATTCTGATAGCTTCAGCAGCCTCCCTCCAGGAACCTGCTGACATTTACGAGTCCTTATATTGATGCCATGATTATTAATCCTTAGTTTCAGACAATGATTGTTATTCTGCCACTGAGAAATTCAAAAACTGTGCACAAAAAAAAAAAAGAGCTGGAAATGCATAAAAGCAATCGATGGTACAGGACGGGCCAATCACAGAAGTCACCGACTGCATCAACCTGATGTGTTGTTACATTTCAAGGGCGGTGCAATTCAGGTTAAGTTGTGAGTTACGGCGTATGGTTTTACAGCAGTTTGTGGTTATGACGTAGCTACAAGTAGATTTCCCACTGAAGCATAAATCCCCAGTTACAAGAATACATATAGCTCATGAGTGAAGCATAGGACCAATGAGTACTGATTATACTGATGCATCGCTAAATTCTAGTCAAACTGAATTATTACCCCTTTTCCTGCTGTAGTCCCTCCCTTTCTTTGATCTTTTCTTATCCTTATGGTGTTTCTTGCGTCTGTGTTCACTAGATGCTGCAGACACTTCCGATGAGTCGGATGCCTCAGAGCCGCTGTCGCTGCTGGTGGAGGAACTAGAAGAAGCTCTTTCTCTCTTTCGAGATTTATTTTCTGAATGCTGCACTCTGCTCAGCTTGGGAGCTGAAAAAAGACAAAAAAAAAAAAAAGCGTATAAGAGACAGTATGATAAATAACTTTGTGTGCACGATAATATTATACAGTATATGCTGTATACCTTAGTAGCGTTATAGTAACATCAAAGTTGACCTGGGCAGTTCAACCTACCAAAACATACTATCAATCTAACACCTAGCTGGCTACGTGTTAGATCGATAGCCAATTGATGCCAATTGTTACTAGCATCATTCACAGCTAGTAACAATTGGCGCAAAGCAACATTGGAGCAACCGGTGGTTTGGGGGGTTGGGAAGCTCATCTTGTAACCGGAAGGTTACCGGTTCGATCTGCCGATCTGTCTTGGTCGTTGTATCCTTGGGCAAGACACTTCACCTACCGCCTACTGGTGTTGGCCAGAGGGGCCGATGGCGCGATATGGCAGCCTCGCTTCTGTCAGTCTGCCCCAGGGCAGCTGTGGCTACAACTGTAGCTGCCTCCACCAGTGTGTGAATGTGAGAGTGAAAGAATACTGGAACTATAAAGCGCTTTAAGGGTCTCGAAAAGCACTATATAAATGCAATCCATTATTATTATAACATTATTCAGCATAATATAGCAATACAGGATCAACTTAAATAAAATCATTTATTTAATTAAAAACAACAGTTTATTTAAGATGCTTTATACAGTAAAGATACTTCAGTATTATAGAGAAAACCTCAAGAATCATCTGATCCTCATACGAGCAGCAGGTGATGATGGCTAATGATGGAACCACAGGGGAACAGCTAAGAGGCAGTGGGGCAAAATATCTGCATCTTTTATGTTTTTTAAATGTAGTTCTTCAAGTAAAATAACTATAGACCATATAGAGGCAAGTGAAAGTTTTAGGCTAGTTCTCATAAAAAAAGGCCTGTAGTACAGTAAAGAAACAGTATACTTCACTTCAGTTACTGACTTTCAGTCACAGGACTGGGGGCAGCAAACGCTGGCATGGAGCGGTTACTTGTGAGGTTTTCAATCTGGCTTCTCAGGAACTTGCGGTCTTGCATCAAATCCTCCACCTGCCTCTCGAGAGCAGCGATGCGTTCTTGTTTGCTCTCCAGCATGCACTGCAGCTTGGTGATGGTCAGCAGCACCCTCGGGGGAAGACCCTCTACTTGGGAAGCAGCTAGAAAAGACAAGACAGCCACACAAAAGAGGATTACAAGCATACAAGTTAAACTTCTATCATTTTTCTATCAGTTTTTGTCTCTAGAAGGGATGGTGTGCTTTTCAGGCAGTCGTTTCAGTATTTGTTCAGGATGAGAAGATAAAATCAAACAAATTATTATCTATTTTCTTAACTATCAACATGTTTACATCACTGCTAAGCCAGAGGCTGATGCTGGCTCAGCTTAAAGGACGATAACCATAAAAAGTAAACTACATGAAGCAGCAAATACTGTCAGAGCTTCCCATACCAGACATGGCACTGCTGGGTGTGTTGTCCTGAACAGAATCTGCTGATGCTCCCGTTTGAAAATTCTCCCACTTAATGATACGAAGGTCGTCTTGCTCCTGCTTTAGCCAGGCAGGAGAGCTGAGGCGCTCTTTGGTCCTCACGGAGCTGGAGTCGATTTCTACACAGGGCGAATAACATGACGGCTCCTGATGCCAAACAGATGACATCTCTTCAAACCTGGAAAAGGACAAGAAGGGGGTATCATAAGCCAAAAAGGTCAAAGGCTAAAGGACAGAATGATGTTAGAGTTCCTATATGGATGACACCCCAGAGAGAACAGGTTTTTCACCAATCAGAAGATTGGCAGTATAAATGACACCTCACCTGTACAAGTGCCCATTGGGAAGACAATGAATCTCAAAAATCACTCCTGATGCATTTATCAGTGAGTGTGATAGATTAAGTGCTTAAACCTCAGTCACACAGTCCTTTAGACCAGGTAGCAACCCCCTGGCAACCACCAGTGATAAGGGAAAGGTAAGGTAGCACTTTAATTTGGTTTTTTTAAGGCAAACATTCGCAGTGTAAAGTTTGTGTTGCACGTTTTAGGGTTGCATTATCCCATGGTGAGTCGTTGCTGAGCATTTTCATTTTCCATGCAAACTATGGGTAATCTGCTAGTGACCAAAGAAAGGAGGTTTTTGGTGCAGCAGCCTCTTTTGACCAATTTCATGTAGCAACAGCCAGAAACCTCCAGTAACCACACACCAAGCAATAGGGGAACACTAGTCTGTAGGCCTGCTGAGGCCTTTAGTACTGGTGATGACTCCAGTACTAAACCTAAAACAACTTTTACTGTGTCACAGAAATTTCAGTCTTACATTAATGCAGGAGCATAGGGGTAATGCAATATCTGGAGAAACATTGATTAAAACAACAAAGCAACTGAGGAGTTTTTTCAAAGTTGCAACAGTACTGCTCAGGAGAAGACTGAAGTGCTTCTAGGGTAACCAGAATCAAGTTACAAAGCCGTTTTGATGTCACTGTAACAAGGGCTTCAACTTCTGGAAAAAACAATGTAATGTCAGGGACTCATATGTAGCCACAGAAGGTGCCTCATCACGTGCACTTCTTTACAAAATGTCGACACATTTTAAATTATATTTACTGGTTTTGAGAGTACTATTCAGCAAATGTAGTACTTCCTGTGCTGTTCAACGGGGCCACGCTCAAATGTTAACTAGTCATGACTACAGAAAGAAACCAGGATTCTTCGATTACCAACAATCTTGAGCTTGACTCTGCAAAATCATCTGCAAATTTCTGTTCATGGAGATTTACAGGATGCGACTGACAGTGATTTTTCTCAGGACTGCAGCTGTATTTTTTTGGTTTAATTAATGGATATGTGGACTTCCTTATGTTACTCATGTTAAATGTGACCACAGTTTAAAATGAAGAGGTTGGCCTATGTGCAAGTAATCCCTGTGAGCCAAGGTTCAGCCTCAGGTTCCAGACAGCTCTCGACACTCAGGTTTTCATTGTTGGTTTTACATGATGTCAGCAAGAGATGATACAAAGTGAGAACAATTCTGTACATTCGGTAAAAAGTTAAGATAATGAAGCATCATGAGGTTTTTGGACTGCCTGATGCATAACACAGTTTTAAGAATGGATCATTTAGTATTTCTTTATTGTTCAGAAAAAATAAGCAAATGTGATTTATAACTATGAAAAAAGTCAGCCACCCTCTGTTCCTGCACAAAGCTACAGGTTCAAACCAAAGGATTACTCACATGTGGTGGCTTGCATTGTTACAATGTTTACCATCAACAGCTCTCTGCAAGTAAACCTGCACCAAAGCTGTATCCATGGCAACTTGATATGATCTTGTAATTAAGCAATGTGTATCTTGTAATTAAGAGATGAAGATCTTGCAATTATGAGATATTTTTAAAAGATGCAGATCTTCTAATTATGAGATGGTACGTTAAAATTACGAGCTACAGAAGTCATAATTACGAGATAACATCACCAGTTTGTGCAACGTGCTACTGAGCAAATGAAGGCTTGATGTAAAACTGAAACATGACTCAAAGCGCTTTAGTACCTGAACAATGCTCACGCAGTATGACGGCCCTCTACGGCCTCATTTAATGCATGGCTGGCTGCATCAAGAGCTGTCACTCAAAATTAACATAACAAAGGCGATATTACTATCACGCTGTAGGTCATGTACAGCAGGCTTGAGTCCATACGTAGGTCTGAGGCATATAGTTTTAGCTGCAGTCAGGTTTACTCTGAGAAGAAAATAGATTTTATCTTCTAGATTCACTTGTAAAGAAAAGAACATTTTCCAAATTGTATGTAAGGATGCACCCAGTTTTAGAAGTGTTGATGACTGAATTTGTCATCTGGATGAAGGACTGAAACAACTATTATTTATTAATTAGCAATGCTTAAAATAGCTTGAAACAAACTAATAAGCAGATATGACTTTTGTATATTAAATAATGAAAGAAAATCTGTTTATGCATTATGTTCATTAAAGAAAAGATGAACAGGATATTTTATTCTTCAATTATGATCTCTGTCATTCATAATTCTGATTTACTGCCTCATAATTACAAGGAAAGGTCATCAGATGCTTGATTAGAAGTTTAATTATTATTATTTAATTTACCTCTATTTTAACATAACATTATACAGGATACCTGAAGAAGTTAGCAGGGTTTTTTCCATGTAGAATGACTCATGTGGCCTCTCATGGAAAACAGCCACATAATAGTTTCTGTTTCCCATCATCGTCATCATAACAGATCCAGAGGTTGACAGTGAGTCTAAAACATAGAGGTGCAAAGTTTTCCTCTGTGAGCTGGCTGTTACCAAACATGGGAATGGTCACACACGGACTTTGTATAGTGAGAGTCATAGTTTAACATACTAACCTGAACGTATATGGCCACAATTATTGGATAAAGACTATTAAACAAAGATAGATAGAGATGTGGCAGATTTTTCAAGAAAAACAAACGTGTTTGCATACACTGCATAAAAAGCAAACAAAGAAACAACACAATAAAGTGTATAAGAAGAAGAAGTCACCACAACCAGTATGGATCTACATATTTGAGCTGGCCGAATATCTTAACTTCTACACTATTGAATCATTCACTACCAGAAACCAACAACAGTTTCTAAAGGGTAAAATTAATTTTGAGTAGAACTGACTTCAGCTTTTTGGTTCAACCCAAATAATCCCTGTTTGTCATGTGGCCCCTTGGGAAAATTACTGCCCACCCCTGGTGTAACATCACAAAAACATCTATGCTAGTGTGGGCCACAGTCCTCTGGTGGGATATGAGGGTACTGCAGGTAGGCCACATATCTATTTTCTTCTACATATCCAGTACATGTCATGTCAGTAGGTGTCATGGAGAACTGGGACCTATCCCAGCTGTAATCCCAGTTGATCCACTGCAGGGGCCACAGTCATTTACAATAAATAAACTTTTTATTTGGTTTTCTGAAATTCAATCAAATCAAATCAAATTTTTATGAAATGTTTCTACTGTTCTTCTAAAGAACTTTTGATGAAGGTTTTTACTGGGTGGCCGAAGATGTTCACATTTCAAACTATGTTCAGACATCGATGTTCAGACACCTTTCATGGATCAGTGAAGGGTGCTTGCTACTTTTTCTGCTCCTGAATGAAACACTAAACAGCACTATGAGATCTTCAATCCAAATTATGAGATAATCTCTTCTGTGCTAAAACACTGAAACAAAAACACTTAGTTAAAAGCACATGTATCATTAGTTATTGTTTTAATCAGTAGTTACTATGAATATCCACAGTGTGTCTTTTGTCCTGTGTCCCTCCTGTTAACCCCCATTGGTTGCAGTAGATGTCTGCCCCTCCCTGAGCCCTGCCAGAGGTTTCTTCCTGTTAAAAGGCAGTTTTTCTTTCCCCCTGTAACCAAGTGCTTGCCCACAGGGGGCCTTTGACTGTTGTGGTTTAATTTAACCCTAATATTGTGGCGTTTACCTTAAAGTGGCTTGAGGCAACTGTTTTTGTGATTTGGTACTATATCAATCAAATTGAACTGAATAGGTATAAACTGCAAAACGTTTATATGACATTTATCACGTCTGAAACACAGTAATAATGCATGAGTAATAGTGAGGAATAGCAACTTCTGAGTATCTATACATCAGAATAATGCACTAAGTGCATTAATGGAACCACTAAGGTATTTTTATCCTCTATAAATGATGTCATATTGATCAGAAATTGAGTGCAGTTAAATAAGTAAGTGACCTGAGTGTTAGCTTTTCGTGACATCAGTGGGTTTGTGGGCCTTTGGTAAATGATTGATGATTAATGATTGAAAAAGATAAAAAACTAAACTAAAAATAATCTGTCTGCTTTACTGCTGCAGTGAGCATTGCTTTTACCTTTGTGCAAAGGCCTCGTCATTTATTAATCAAGAACCATGAGTTCATAACATATCACACATTACTACACTCAATAGGAGATCATGAACAAAGCACAAGTTAAGCACTGATTGATTATGTCCTAATTTCTGCTTCACTACAGTGTTATGCTGTTTTTCCTAATTTTTTATCACTCATTAACATGAAATGTACTTTGTTAGTCAGGAGAAGTTTCTGAATCAGACACACCTTTGCTGGAAAGATGTGGAAAGGAAACTCCAGGTGGAAAATATTTCTGAGTAATGCAACACCGCTCGATCTAAAGTGATGTATGTTTTAAGCTAAATTCTAGTGTTTACTGTCACAAACTTCTGGTAGCAGTTTCAAATGCGGCTCAGCCTCCTCACATGCATAAAACAAACAGCTGCTTCTGCAGGTAAAGAAAGCTTTGTTTACCATTTCTACTGTGGCACTTACAGTGGGATCAAATATCAGAGGCTGCCTGCAACACATGAAGACGCACACCCTGTATTTACAAGACTTTGAAGGGTGAGCTTGGCTCTGTGTTGAAACGATAACAACTCTTAAAGGTAGGAGGAAGAGTGGGTGACAAGCTATAAAAGAAATGTAAATAACATGACTTGTGAGTTTAGACACTTTTCTCTTTACATAATGAATTTTATGCCACCAAATGAACTCAAAATTGGTTTCTATCAATCAAACTTTTTGTCTGAAAGTAGCAAAGTGTAGCATGTACAATTATGCACTGAAAACCAAAATGATCTAATGTCTCTTTAATCTCTCTAATGGTTTAAGATGGTAGTGAGACTTGCTATGATGTGTGGTTTGGAAACAGTGGCACACAAAAAAAAGAGCTGGAGGTGACGTAGCTGAAGATTTTCAAGGCTAACATTTTTACTGGGAATAACCAGAATGGACACGTCTAGAAATGAGCGCTGCAGAAGGACGGCTCTGCTGGATGTTTTGGAGACACAGTTGGAGAGGCAAGGCTGAGATGGTTTGGACATATGCTGAGGAGAGATAGTGGATATATTGGACAAACAATGTTGAATAATAAACTGTTTGGTAGAGGGATGAGAGGAAGACTACAGAGAAGATTCATGGATGTAGTGAAGGAGGACATGCAGGTGGTTGGTGTGACAGAGGAGGATGCTAGGGATAGAGTGCCATGGAGGCAGATGGAGTTGAACTTAAAAAAATGTAGATACATACAATTTTCTGTTAGAAATATGAAGCTTTATTTGCTGGAAGTTGGGCCAAAACTGAAGCAGAATTTCTCATCATATCTTAAACCAGTGAGGCCAAAACATTTCCCATAATGCAACTGAGCAGCACCTTTCAATTTCAGTTGTAGCACAGTAATTCTGTTTAAACACTGTATAAAAGTCAACCAAAAAAGAAAAAACAAAACAAAACAATGAAATCACAACACACTGACTAAATGCTAAGCAAAAATAGTTCATCATACGTCTCCATAAATTCCTCCACCAGCAGACGCCAATCGTGAGAGACTGGACAAATGTCAGTGGTTAACGTTTGTAAGAAAAATCCCTTTTAATGAATGCAATATATGTATATATTATTTTAATCGTCGAAGGCTGGGCCAAAAAATGAAGCAGCTATGTCAAACCTCCATTGCCCAGAATGCAACCAAACTGTATGTTTTGTATTAAAACATCTTGAAGCATGCTCAATCATCCAGGTAAGTAAATCTCCAAAAGTTGATTCTGTTCATCTGAGACTGAAGAAGTCACTGGATGAGTGACGAAACGTTTCTCCCACTGAAAACGCTACGTCCAGATGAACAGAATCAATATTTGAAGATGCATTTTTTGTAGTTGTAATCAAAGTCCTCATTGTATAATTTCTCTCTTGCAACTTTTGTGGAAATACTAAAGTTTTGTGATGTTTGTGGCAATTTCTTCTAACCTCTTGGCCAGATCTCTCTGGAAAGAGATTCAGTCTCATCTCAATGAGACTTTAGTATATGTAAAATCAGCACAAAATTAACACAGAATCACAACATCATGATAAAAAACTAATGACACATCTGCATTAACTCCTGCATGAACTCACGATGATTCAGAATACTGGCCTTGTATTTACTAGGTATCTGATCTATACCAGTTATTGATCGATAATTTGCAGTATTGCACAGTATTAGTGTAAGATGTAATGGCTGCAGCCACAAGATAAGTGGTGCATTTAGGTGCTCAATTCCTTAATGCAGTATATCAAAATGACAGTAGTTGATCTGCTAGTGTAAACTGGAGGAAGTGGACATCACTGCTTAACTTGGTGTTTCCATGGAGATGTTGACTAACTCTTTAACAAGCTGAAGCACCAAAACACAAGTAAGTGAGTAAGTGCTGCAGTGATTAATCTGAGTCCAAAAAACACATTAATATCCGTGAGGTGATCCTAAGCTACTAAGAGAAAAACATGGGGCTCAATGCAGAAGGAAGACCAATGTTATTTTTTTTAACCTCTTAATTACAGAAGCATAAATGTGTTCGGCAACTGTTTTAAATAAGGATATTTAGCATGACAGAAGTTACAAACCTTATACAACACACAAAGGTGCAACGTTTAGAAGACTACACAGGGCTAAACATGTCTCCTTGCAGTGGGTTTAATTAGCTCCTACCAAGATGGATGCTAATGACTGTAATTACCAGCAAAAAAGGGGGAAAGGGGAGCAAGCAACAAAGCCGGTGAAACATGCGGGACAACGTACCTTTAAGAGAGTCCAGTGGATAAAAGTGGAGGTGATAATGTCGTCCTGTTTGTCCTGCTGTCAGCTGAAAATTCACCTGGAGTAAATCACTTGGTTGGAGGGAAATATAAACAGAGACGGGTGAGAAAATGAGGGAGTACTGTAACGTGCGTGTCTGGCAGAGGGGCGGGGCCATGAAGCTGCCTTCAGGTGCTCCACAGAAAGTCAAGCTTCTCGTAACTGTAACTTTGATTTCAAAACTGTGGCGCTGTCGTTTCAGAGGTATAACCAATGTAACTGGTTGCAAAGTTCTTGAAGTAACAGGAAATCATTAGTAGAGCTCCATGAGTATAAAAAGCAATTTCTGGATGTAACAGTTGGAGTGCGAATGTTCTATATATCCAATATGTACCTTTTGCTGATGAGTTGTACACCGGATGCCCTGACTTGTGTCACCAGCTGGAAACAAACCAGACCTTTTACTTACCAAGCAAATGTGTGTTTTCTCGCCGGCTGGATTACAATGTATTAAATGCATTGTTGGACGTTGTTAATAATTAAATAACAATGGTGTTATATTACTGGAATAAAGATTGAAATGGTGACTGAATCAAATTTCGTACTAGCAGATCATAAGCTCTCTTGAAAATATAAGATATGGTGAATCAAATCTCAAAAAGCATTTTCTTTTTTGAATCTTGCTTTATCTCAGTTATTGTTCTGCGCTATGGGATAAAGCATATGACCTTAATTTGAAAACCTTAAAAACATTATAGAAAGAACAACTAGGATAATAGCCGAGATGGGTTCAGGAGATCCCACCAACAAATTGTTTCTGAGTTTGTAAAACTTTAAGATGTGATTTACTTGTGATCAAAATTTGATTAATCATGTTCAAAGCAGTGGCCATTTGAGGCTAGCTCCAAAAGCATATTGATTGTGATATCCAGAGCTAAAAAGTCGAACTTTAAATAATTAAAAATAATCTTTGGATAGTTTCTCCCTTTCAAAAGGTCTTCACATAGTTCTTGCAAAGCTTTGATGTGTGTCTGGGCTCATTATTCATCTCCATGATGATGCAACAATGACACAACAATCATGGCTGCATTCACTGTTGCAAATGCCAATCACCCATGATCTTCTTTCCCCCAGAAATGACTGCAAATGTGTTTCTAAATCTTTAAACTTTCTAATAATACTATGGAAAATAGTTTTTAAACTCTTTCACACCATCACCAGAGTAGGTACTTTAAGTTCAGAACTAGAATAGGAAATAATATTTATTCATGTTTGACATTATTTCTTGTGCGTCTTTGCTGATTTTATGAAGGCCAAGTTAGGATAACCACATGCTTTAAGAGTTATTTTTTGTTTTGTTTTTCAAATGTGTATTTCTTTTCTTTTCCTTTTTCCACAGAGAGAATTTTCTCTGGCTAGTGTTGTATGGTTCTGATCACCCCCAAATTTATGTTCCAGTGTGAGTCAAAGAGTAGGTACTTGTCTGTGTCTGGGGTTTCTGGTAAATTTCATTACTGAGGATTCCATCTTCCTCAGTGCACACAACAATAGTAACCTATTTTCTTTGGTTTTTATATATATTTTTTATCCACAGAGTTAATGTGTTTGTTAAGTTACAACAAATATTCTTACAATCTCAAAGATATTTTGAGGTTAATAAAAGAAAGCTCAACACTTACCTCCCAACTTGGTTAACTGTGTCCTTTACATGTGAACATTTCCCATTTTGATTTCCTAAATTAAATTACATTTACGTGCTGTTACCATATTTCCCACTGTCCTCGAAAGCAGCAAAGGGGTGGTGACAAACTTGAAGGTGGGGTCTCCTTTCACGGAACATAAAATGATAGTAAGCCTTTTCCCATTCAGTGTAACATGTTCAGTGTTCATGTTCCAGGCCATTTGGATTACTGAGGCATGAATAAAGTCAGACATGATGACATTAAAGGAAACTTTATTAGCAGTAAGACTAAAATTCTTTGGCTATATAGAAGCTAATAAGCAGACTGATGCTGTGACTATCTCATGTGCTGTAAGTCATTTGAGTATCTTTTTGCAATATGTTTATAATAGTGGTCACTCATAAGAATAAATCTCAGCTGCCATTAACGGACACACAAGTGACACAGACATCAGATTCTCCACATGTTAAAAATCAACCTGAACATCACGATCAGATTTCTTTTCACACACCCTCTGGTCTATTCTAAGCAGTATGCTAAATAATGCTCCGTATTAAACACTCTTCTTTGTTAGTCATAAAATATAAAAAAATAATAATACATGTATAACAAGGAGAGGTGTATTTGGATTTGTCAATTCCTTTTTTTTTGCAACTAAATATATATCAATATATAATTTATTTCAATGAGAAACTGATAAAATATGTAACCGCTGCTGTGAGAACAGTTCAGATTCAAGTCCATTGCATTGCATAGCCTTCATAATGCCAGCTAATACTCCTTCAACTCGAAATTTCACATTTCTTCATTTAAAAGCACAAAGCCATGCTGACTGATTGCATTAGTTATAACAGGCACAGTTTGGGGCACGGAGGGTGAAAAAGGTCAAAGAAGTATTTGATCTAAAGAAGCATAATACTTACATGAAAGTCTTAATAGATTAGTGAATGCAAGAGAATCAGGTAGCGAAGTAAATACGGGTCTTATGTTTTTAACGTCATTATCTTATCAAGTCTTAAGCCACCTGATCACACCACGCTCGATCTAATTGATTCAGTGTGACTACAGCTGGCTCCTGTTTGTGTTGTAGAAATCTTGGTGCTTTATACTGGCCACTATATAAATGCTGGTTAATTAAAGATTAAAAATTGACTAAGAAATGGGCAGTAATTGTGAGACACAGCTTCACTCACTGATAAGTTCTAAGTAAGAGAATCAAGGTCAGCGTCTGTGAAGGAGGTAAAATAGAGAGCCAACCACATTAACAGTAAGTCAGTTTGGACAAGACACGAGCCAAGTTAATTATTTAATCGCCCCACTACCCTCCTGCTCCGGTCACAATATCATACAGAGAGACCGAGTAAAGTTAGTTTGTTAACCAGACAACCCGCGTCCTTCCTGCCTGCCTCTCTGGCTTTCAGTGGCAGATAGCGAGAAGGAGGCGCTTAAAGTCACCGCTGCACTCGTCCCTCAGGGCGTCCTTAAGGGACACATCATACTTCTCCAGGTACATGTCTTTGATGGTCTCCAAATCATACTGTTGAAAAAAAGAGAACCACAAAATTAAATTAGCCTTTATGTCGAGCCTGCCAGAAGTCAACTCATGGGAATTTACCAAATATAATATGATGGAAATAATCAGTTTCAACTTGACCCTCTAGCAAATGTGGAGAAGACAAACTCATGTTTAAAGTTTCACTCACACAGGCCTAGAGACAGGCCAGCGATTCCCTAGAAACCTCTGGTCACTAGGGAAAAGTGTGTATTCCCCAACTGGTTGATTTGCAGTCACTATAAGTTACTGGGTGAAAGTGATCGCAAAGACGGTGTGGCATCGACAACCTGGAGTTACTGGGAGTACTGCCCAGTATCACTAGGTAACATCCGGGAGTTGATTCTGAAATGGTGCTTCTATGCAAATTGCTGATAACTGTGGTGACCAAAGTAATCACATAGAAGTTTTAGTTGCAGCAACATATACCTGTTTTTGCAACCAGTTTTTACAAAGCTAGAGCCACCAGTCTTCTGCAACCACTTGCCAACCACTTTGGGAATACACATTTTTCTCTAGCAACCAGTGGTTACCATGAGGTTACTGACTTTAAATCTCTGTGAGTAGGGCTTATACATCAGTTTCACAGTGACTGTCAGAAACCTAAAGCAACTACTCATAATTTATCTAGAATACAAATTTTTCCATAGTGACAAAAGGTTGCCAGGCAGTTGCCAACTGGTCTCTAACCTACGTGACTGGGGCCTAAATCATTTACATTTTCTGGAGTAGATTTCTGATCCACATTCTGCACTTGTTTGAATTCTTTTTGATTAGCATTTAAAAATGCCTTGTATACTATACGTTTGTATGTTAACATAAACCAGGGGACAGGATTTACCAGAGTTTGCCTGAAGGTGGCAGTGAACAGTCTTATAAGTGACTTTAAAGTGTAAGAACATGCATACTGTAAAAACAGATGTAATAATCAGTGAACTGTTTAGTAATCGCAGCATGTTGTGAATGTTTTTAATCATCTTTTATCGTGTATTTTAGCTTGACAGTCTTTGGCCCCTTCTTATAAACAAGGTCATGCATCATTAGCGGAATTACCTCGGAGCGACACACAATAATGCGAATCAGGGTGTCCTCATCAGTGCCTGCTCCTTTCATCGCTTTGTTCACACGTCTCGCAAAGTAAAGCTGGGGATTCTTGGCAACTCTTACTGTGAGGAGGAGGAAAGGGTTTCATTAAATTCCACAGCAGATTATGAACCATATGTTCCTGCAGCAACAATTTATTTTTCTTCAATATGCTTATTAAACACCAAACTTTTATTTGCATAGCACAATAGGAGTTTACCCAACGTACTTTCCTGTCATCTAGTATACAAAAAACTAGCAGTTTGCCATGTGATTTTGATGCTACCACTGCTTCTCTAATCTTCTAATCAAATTAAATCAAATCAAATCTAGAATCATAGATTTTAATATGGACAGCTTTCTAATTCATACTAACCGAGAGCAGTGTAGCATTTTTTCAGTGTCCCTCCAGTCTCGTTCTCAATGGCATCGAGGATTTCAGTTCCAGAGAGCTGTTGAGAGAGTATAACTAGCTGAGTTAAGCACTGTAAATGTCTTACAGAGTAACCTTTCACTTTCCATATACAAATATTTCTTATGTAGTGATTTGTTAGGAGGTGTCAGGAAACAGTGATGTGATATGTGCAAGCAGATATGCAATATCACTGCAGCAGCGGGCACAAATACCAACCTGCTCATATATCTTGAAGGTGGCCTGGAGCTGCAGGTAATTTCTGGTGGCCAGGATGTAGGTGAAAGTGGATTCGTCTGTCCCAAAACGGCTTTCACCAGCCTGCATCAGTTCAGCGAATATTAATGTTTTTCAGGGTTAATAAATCTGCCACGATGCAATTATGAATAATTTAAAAATGAAACTGTACCTCAAACAGGGCAATAGCATCTTGTTC